GGGTGGAGTTTGACAAAGGATTACTCAAAAAGTACACAGTAAAAGTACTTGACTGTACTTGTGCTACTAGTCCAAGTAGTACTGAATCCAACAGTATCAATTTCATTAAGAACTTATTGCACAAAATCATTTTATCTCTCATCAAAGATGGCAGAAAACATGCATTATTGTACTCTGGAGGGGAGTTTGACAGGGGATTACTCAAAAAGTACACAGTAAAAGTACTTGATTGTACTTTTAGTAGTAGTCCAAGTAGTACTGAATCCAACAGTACCAATTTCATTAAGAACTTATTGCACAAAATCATTTAATCTCTCATCAAAGATGGCAGAAAAAAATGCATTATTGTACTCTGGAGGGGAGTTTGACAGGGGATTACTCAAAAAGTACACAGTAAAAGTACTTGATTGTACTTTTAGTAGTAGTCCAAGTAGTACTGAATCCAACACTACAAATTTCATTAAGAACTTATTGCACAAAATCATTTTATCTCTCATCAAAGATGGCAGAAAACATGCATTATTGTACTCAGGGGTGGAGTTTGACAAAGGATTACTCAAAAAGTACACAGTAAAAGTACTTGACTGTACTTGTGCTACTAGTCCAAGTAGTACTGAATCCAACAGTATCAATTTCATTAAGAACTTATTGCACAAAATCATTTTATCTCTCATCAAAGATGGCAGAAAACATGCATTATTGTACTCTGGAGGGGAGTTTGACAGGGGATTACTCAAAAAGTACACAGTAAAAGTACTTGATTGTACTTTTAGTAGTAGTCCAAGTAGTACTGAATCCAACAGTACCAATTTCATTAAGAACTTATTGCACAAAATCATTTTATCTCTCATCAAAGATGGCAGAAAAAATGCATTATTGTACTCTGGAGGGGAGTTTGACAGGGGATTACTCAAAAAGTACACAGTAAAAGTACTTGATTGTACTTTTAGTATTAGTCCAAGTAGTACTGAATCCAACAGTACCAATTTCATTAAGAACTTATTGCACAAAATCATTTCATCTCTCATCAAAGATGGCAGAAAACATGCATTATTGTACTCTGGAGGGGAGTTAGACAGGAGATTACTCAAAAAGTACACAGTAAAAGTACTTGATTGTACTTTTAGTAGTAGTCCAAGTAGTACTGAATCCAACAGTACCAATTTCATTAAGAACTTATTGCACAAAATCATTTAATCTCTCATCAAAGATGGCAGAAAACATGCATTATTGTACTCTGGAGGGGAGTTTGACAGGGGATTACTCAAAAAGTACACAGTAAAAGTACTTGATTGTACTTTTAGTAGTAGTCCAAGTAGTACTGAATCCAACAGTACCAATTTCATTAAGAACTTATTGCACAAAATCATTTCATCTCCCATCAAAGATGGCAGAAAACATGTATTATTGTACTCAGGGGTGGAGTTTGACAAAGGATTACTCAAAAAGTACACAGTAAAAATACTTGATTGTACTTGTGCTACTAGTCCAAGTAGTACTGAATCCAACAGTACCAATTACATTAATAACTTATTGCACAAAATCCTTTTATCTCTCATCAAAGATGGCAGAAAACATGCATTATTGTACTCAGGGGTGGAGTTTGACAAAGGATTACTCAAAAAGTACACAGTAAAAATACTTGATTGTACTTGTGCTACTAATCCAAGTAGTACTGAATCCAACAGTACTAATTTCACTAAGAACTTATTGCAAAAAATCATTTTATCTCTCATCAAAGATAGCAGAATACATTCTTTTGTGTACTCAGGACAGGAGTTTAAACAAGTATTACTTTAAAAGTACACAGTAAAAGTGCTTGATTGTACTCGTGGTAGTAGTCCAAGTAGTACAGAATTCAGCATAACCGATTTTATTAAGAACTCATTGCAAAAAATGATTGTATCTCTCATCAAAGAGGGCAGAAAACATGCATTATTGTACTCTGGAGGGGAGTTTGACAGAGTATTACTCAAAAAGTACACAGTAAAAGTACTTGATTGTATGGTAGTAGTCTAACATGTACTGAGTCCAACAGTACCAATTTTATTAAGAACTTATGGCTAAAAATAATTTGATCCCTCATCAAATATCATTGATTGATTGATTAAATATAGCATAAGCACTTTTACTATCGTCAGCGCCACTTCTTGGCGATTACCGTAAAGACGCTATTAATCGCGCACTCAAAAATGAAGCGCTGCTCATTTGACCAAGCAAATGCGAGAGACGGCTGAGTTGACCGCAGTTTATTTTTGCACCGCGGAACGTTTCTCACTGGATGAGTTTCAGGCGTACCGATTATACTGGAGCACCAACTAACGTTCATGACTTCAGACAACAACAAACCACAGTGAACAACAGTGGGAAATGTTGTTTTAAAAAACGGACGGATGGAAGCGTTGATAAGAGCACGGTTGTGTGCAAATTATGCAAAAAGGAATTCGCATATCACCGCAGCACATCAAGCCTCAAGTATCACCTCAATGCAAAACATATAGCAGCTAGCGTTGAAGCTAGCGTGGACGTTAGCCTCTTTTATCGCGTTCACACCATACAGTCTATGGTTCACACCAAAAAGAGCCGGTACTAAAATTAGTTCATGAGAACCTTTTTACCCCCCACGAAAGTCCCTGCTAGAGAGCAGAGCGCTGCTAGAGAGCAGGGACTTTCGTACGGCTCTCTTGTGAGAAAAGAGCTATATTTCTGATTGGCTGGGCGGATTGCAAACCACGCCCCGTAAAACTCCCAAAAAGTTTGGTGAAGCCGCCATTTTATTATCCTCGCATTAGCATTAGCATTAGCCCAGCGCAGAAACGCAGAGAGACTAACTTATGGCAACACAAAATAAAACATGGGAGCGGTGGAGATGAGGAGGTGTCGGCGTTCTGGCGATTTACTCGGAAGGCTTCAGTAGAAGCTGCTGGGACTCCCAGCAGCTTCTACTGAAGCCAGTCCCCAACTCCGGGGACTTCCGGCCGGGGACTTCGGGCGGCAGTATACGCCGTGAAGTGGTTTGCGGCCTGCCAGTAAACCCAAAGCAGAAGAAGAAGAAGTGACGTCAGCGGCTTCATTTGTTCTCATGAACTAAGTTCTCATGAACCTTTGTGGGAAAAGTACTGCGGTGTGAATGCGCCTCATGGTATACTAAAATCCATGTGAAAAAAATTGCTTCTCACTGTTCTCAGGTCAAATATTTATATGCGATTAAAAATGCGATTAATTTCGATTAATTAATTACAAAGCCTCTAATTAATTAGATTAATTTTTTTAATCGAGTCCCGGCCCTAGTTTGTACTTAGAATAAACCTCTCAGTGCTTTGGCTAACGACGATCCAGTCTCCTTCATTGTTACTCAACATTGAAAGACAGAAGTTTTCCTCACATTACGCAGACAGCGTTAGCTGGGAGATCGATCACTTTGCTAAACTATGCGGTAGCCTACTATTAAATCCACGTAAACTACACATCACAGCAATGAGGCCAGATCAATGAAACCAGGATACATCCTTTACCGTAAAAACTGGATCCAAACACAGCTGCCTGTGTGCGCTTGATCAATACTTTCTGATGTTATATTTATGATATCCTGGCACTACAATATGCTACATATTAGCTAGGCTACATGGCCCTAACGTGTAAAGTTATACAAGCATTTGTACCAGTGCTTTTCACAAGTAGACTCTTGCAGGCCAGAGTATAGGAGTGATTCAACAACAACAAAAAGACATATCTGAGAAGAGATCAGGACGAACAGAAAGAGGAAAAGGAAAAGAGGGTTCACTAAAGAGACCAGGAGGGCCAGAGCAGGAGGAAGAGGAGGAGATGAAGACATTAGTGAAAAAGAAGAAATATATGTCAGGAATAAAGATGAAGTATCAGAAAGAGGGCCAGAGGCAGGGATCAGGAGGCAGATGAAACTCCAGCTGGACCACATGGTATGTTCTTATTCTCCTTACATATTTCATTGCAGCAGCACAATCTAGCAGCTCTTAGTATTGACAATTATTGATTGAAATGTGTTGCTGCACAGGTCACCTGTAGCTCTCTGAAGAGATGGGTGATGTCATTTGTGTACTTAATTATAACTAAGTACTTACAGTATGCAGAATTAGAGTATTCTCTGAATCGGGTGCCTTTTGGATCTTTATATCTTTGAAAAATGAAACCAAAATGTTTGGTCATAACATCTGGTAGTGGACTACTTACATGTTCCCACCTCAGGCACAAAATATAAATAATTACTAGGAATTTACTTGAAAAAATGTAACAGGGTTGAAGTTTTTGACAAAAAGTAGCCATGAGACCTTGTTTAGCTAAGATATGGCACCACATGGAAGTCAAGGACATTACAAAATTGTAATATTTTGCAAAACTATTGTTTATTTTTTAATAAACAATTATTTACTATTATTAATTCATACAACATAGTTGAAATGTTGAGCATGTCAATCTTAATCTGAAAATACAAAAACTGAAATATAGGTAAGAGAAGAAACTGACACTTTTGTGATGTAATTCCGTCAATGCAGATCACACATGGACTGATCCATTATTTTAATAGGAGGGTAAATGGTATGGCGTGACAGGGTTGAAACAAACTGAGGGACGTGTGTCAATATTGCAATTTCATAGATAATTCAAGTATTTTTTCAGAATATATTTTTGATCAGTTAAAGTTGACAAGCATATGATTATATTAGCAGCAACATTTTGGAATAATTGGCCATTTTGATTTGTTTAATATTAAATTAATATGTAATAATGCTTAGTGAGCACATGCAAATATGTCTGTCTAATACTAAGACAACACGTTTTTTGTAATGCAAAACAACCTGTTCCATTAATTAATTGCTTTAAAATACATTTTGTAGTTTCCTTTCATTTAAAATGGTTGAGGTAAGCTTGGGGGACTCAAAGGGCACCCAATTGTTTGTCTGAACACCTTGTTTCTCTTGTGCATTAAGAACACTTGTGTTAGGGCATGAATTAACAATAAATAGGTTATATACAGTATAAAATACCACGTACTGTCCGCCCTCCCATGCCACCCTGGCATGACCTCTTGCCCCCCCCTTTGCCACCCCATGTAAAATGTTCTAGAACCGCCACTGCATGACGGACACATACATCCTTTCTATTTACAGCCAATTTAGCATATTTTTTATCAATGGTAAGCTTAATCGAGGTAGGTGAGGTAAAGGTCTGACACAGCCACTTAAACAGCAGAACTGTCAACAACAGCCATCAGATCCGACGGGGCTGTAGCTGTTTCCTTTTTATAGCAGCAGCTTTGAATAAAGAGTGAGTGAGAGAGAGAGAGAAAACTGTTAGAAGCACATTATCACAGACTAAAAGATGCAGCTCTTATTCACTTTTCTCCAAGACATGTTGCTCCGATACATATTTATGCGAGCACTATTTGTTCTAAATCATCAACATTTCTTAATAAATACAGCTCCAGACCTGCTCTCAACAGTAAAGGTATGCAAAAGTCACAATATTTTGATGTCACATAGAATTGCTGTCAGGTATCTTAATTTAGGGTTAATCACTATTCATATCCTCACACACAACTACTCACCCTCTGATGTGTTTGGCCTGGCTGATGAGGTCAGGAAGTTTGCTATTTCTGGTGTCTGGCAGCAACATGCTAACAGCAGCAGCCATGATGCTGATTGTGCCAAAAACTATGTATGGCAGGATCTTACTGTACACGCCTGTAAAATAATAAAAACACAGGTCATCGATATATATCGCACTGTCATGGTCTATCCTCAGCACTGTGCAACTCCAGTTTTAATGTGATTAGCATTGTCTTTGTTTTTACTATTGCAGCAGGCACAATGTGTTCAAGAGAAAATGCCTGTTAAACCATTGTAAGTTAACTTTTCATACCGGTATAATGAATTACATTTAAAATTGCTTCATAGCACAGGCCATGGCGTGTGGGGTTTGAAAGTCTCATGTACTATGTCTGTAAACCTTGTGAACAGGGTCTGTAATTACTTTTTTTACTCATCATCTGAAGGTTTAGTTTAGTTTTAGTTTATTTATTTATAGTGTCGTGGACAGTCCCCATCGATGAACTGTCACAAAAACAGTAAATGGAGCAGCTTTAGCCAACATGGCTAATTTCCAGCTGTTGTCCCCGGCCAGATGGTAATAGACACCCTTAAAATCACAATATATCAACAGCATTAGTTATAAAAAATATAAAATAAAATAAAAAGGAGGAAAGACAAGTAGATACCGGCGAAAGGGATGGATAAAAGAGAACAATAAACAACACACGTTACTACATACAGTACATGTCACATATAGCACATAACAATCACATAACAGAAACGAGGGGCAACATCCATGATCACAACATGTAACACAACATGTAACACTCACGCCACACTCAACACAGACGTGTGCAGGTGTAGTTCTCAGTGAACCATGTTTTTAAGTGAGCTGTGAAGGTGGTATATATCTTTGATTTGAGTGGGTAGAGAGTTCCAGTTTTGTATTGCTGTGACCGAGAATGATGACTGACCAAAAGTACTCTTCCTGAATGGGTCACAGACATTTTTTAATTGCCATCTGTTTATATTTCTTCAACTTCTGAAAACTATAGAGCACTTTAGGATTGTACACACTGAGCCATTGGTAGTAGACGTTGGGGAAATCATGTAACCCTAATCCCTGACTGTTTTTTTATTTAGGAATTACTGTAAAAATATTATTTCCTAATACAAGGTAAACCATAAGGACATGCGTTGATCATTTGCCAATATAATACATTTTCTCTTTAAATAAATGTTAATGTTACCCTTCAGATATACCTCCCTTGTTCAGCCAATGGGATAGCGAAGTCCCCCCCTTCCCCTTCATCCAGCCCCTTTTCTTTTAATACTGACGTAAACAAACAATATAGCGGCATTTTAAAAAAGCGGCAGAATTGGGAGGTACTAGACACTTTACCCGCGTCCCAAACAACCCTGCACATCATCAACAAGCCTTGACAACTAGTAATTAATTCCGACGGCGGAGATAGTTTCATTTCAGACATCTGTAATCAGGGCCGGCCCTATACATTTTGGTGCCCTAGGCGAGATTATGATTTGGTGCCCCCCCCCCCAAGCAATACACAATAGAATATATAAAGAATAAATGAAAAATCTCTACAAAAGACCAATACCCTACAAAAACTGAAACGTATTGACATGTTGGTTATATACATAAAGAAGGTTTCAAATGTATTCATTATTGTATGCACATGTTTTAATTGGGGGGTGGATGTCACATCCTCTAGGGGGGTCTGGGGGTATGTCCCCCCGGAAAGTGGATCCCGCGCCGCACTAATTGCACTCCATAAGCGCATAGGTGCGCCGCATTTCCGGCTCAGTTGAGGCTCCCTCCGCAAGATGAGGCCCCCTCCGTAAGGTGAGGCCCCACGCAGTCTGCATGATCGGCCTGTAGGGAGGGACGGCCCTGGCTGTAGTTATCAGCCTCAATCCAACAACAATCCACGGTACCGATGCGTGCCCTCTCTCTCTCTTGCTCGCTCGGAGGCTCGCTCGCACTTTGGCTGTGAGCTGCGGGCGCCTGATAAGTAGGGTTGGGTACCGAGAACCGGTTCCGGTTCGGAACCGGTTCCAACATTTCGATTCCAACGGCATCATTTAGAAATGTGAATTTCGGTTCCGCTTTTCGATGCCTGAGGAAATGTTTCTCGCCGCTCTCCGTAGCCTACTGTATGACTGCGGCGGGGCGGGAAATGTAGCGTTGTACCTATACTTCCTACAGCGTAACCTGGGACCAGGGCCGGCCCGTCGCACTGGCGTTATAGATGTTCGCCTAGGGCGCCAGATCTGTGGAAGCGCTGCGCTGACAGCTCTGGGAGGGAAAAAAATGTTTTGACCGTTGGCGCTCATCCTAATTTTCGGCCTTGATGTAACAACATTCATAATTAAGTAAATGTAACACCCTTTTCTTCCCGGTTACACTTTTCATTTGCCCTGTACGATGGGCGCTGTAAGTGATGAAAATGGGGGATGTTGGCTTATCTGGCACCCGCAGCTCACAGCCAAAGTGCGAGTGAGCGTGGGAGTGAGTGAGGGAGAAAGGGAGGGTGCGAGCGCTGTTGTTATTAGCACCTGGTGCTAGCTGCTCTAATGGATATTAGAAGAAGATGTTTCTACAATAATGTGGAGGGAGAGTCCTCTCCAGTCAGACTGAGAGGCTGATAACTACAGCTCAGTGAGGTAAAGGACTCTTGAGTGTTTAGATAGTTCACTTTAGTCTAAGTTATCGCAGTGGGTCTCAAACGTTTTGAGAACAATTTATGTAAACACATATTTCCAAGGTACTCCTTTATAATTATTGGAATAAAACAGGTTTGAAATCATTCCAATGTATACTATAGGACAGTAAACCAGACATATCGTTTTAAACTGGAGAGATAACAAAATATGCATAAATAAAATTGTAAAATAAGATATGAATGAACAACAAAAATAAAATACGTTACATGTATTTGTTATTGGCTATGGTAGGTTATTGGTTATGTTCACATACTTATTTAATTATTAAAATGTAAACCGATCTTTTTTCATATGGGTGTTTAGAGTTGTACCCCCTAGATCTAGTCTCTAGTAATTCTGCTTAAAGTGCACCAGATTGAAGCATTTTACTTTAAAATGTTCAAACATTTCTTCCCGGTATGCCTGAGAAGGCAGATATGCTTGAACTGTTTTTAAATGGGGGGGGTTTCCTTTAAAAGTTGGACTGTTGCACTGTTGTAGCTTCAGTGGTTCTCAGGTGACAGTTAGCAGTGAATATAAACAGACTGATTAATGTGAATATTACTGTAAACTAACCTGTGTAAAAGTTTCTCGAATAAATGTAATTTTTTTGGTGGAAGAAGCATGTATCATTGTTTTACCCTGCCCCTCAAAGAATCGGAATTGAGAACCGTTAAGAACCGGAATCGAAAAGTAGAATCGGAATCGGAATCAGAATCGTGGAAATTCAAATGATACCCAACCCTACTGATAAGTCAACATCCCCCACTTTCATCACTCACAGCGCCCATCGTATAGGGCAAATGCAAAATGTTGCCTCCCGGCCCGGGATGCAAAGGGTGTTTACTTTATTCAATTATTAATGTAAATGTATTATATCAAGGGAAGAAAATGAGGCAGAATACAAATTAAAACAAATTAATTTAAATATTTTTATAAAAAAAATTCTCCCAGCCCCTCCAGATCTGGCACCCTAGTCGACGGCTATGAAGGTAGATATGGTGCAAAATGCAAGAGCTTGTAGAACCTGATCTGAGCAATACCATTGACTATTTTTATTGATACATTTTTGACTAAATAATTACTTATTTTTTAAGGTCACAAAGTTTTGTCCTGAACAGTATTTTGTGTTTTGCATAATGACATGTACGCTACATGTACCCTTAATCAAATACTTGTCGTCGTATTTCATCTCGTAACAGGATGTATTGATCAGCTGCAGCAAATGGATCTGCTGAATCATCCCATCCGTTTTCCGCCATGAGTAGACAACACAGTTCAAAAACAGTTTAATCGCATGGAAACTGGCCTTTGGGAGTACACTCTTCCATACAAAAATGTACCTCCTCCATGGCAATAGGTTTGAGTCTATCCTCAGCACTGTGCAACTCTAGGAATGAGTACATAATCACTGACCGACCAGATGCTGTGTCATCAGTTGATCTTGGTCTGATTTTGTGGGAATTCCAGGTGTTGACCACTTCATCAAGTTCAGCTGCATAGAAAAAAAGCACAGTAAATGTAGACGACACATGTCTTAAGAAGCTTACGGACATAACTTCTACCTGTCTAGATGGAGGCTGAGGTTGCTGCAATGTCCACGAACATAGTGAATTATAATATTATTATATTACTCATACTACTTTTATTAATGACTCATCTCAGAAATAAATAAAACATTTTACCTAAACAAGATTAAGGTAACAGAATTGGATAATACTTTTGTCCAAAAAGTCTCCTGTGAAGTGCCCATCTTCCTGGAGAGTTTGGAACACGCGCTAGTGGACTACGAGCACCGGAAACCTTGCAGCGGCAGATAAACTGTGGCACGCTTACACTAATTGCGCCGCATTAGCGCATAATAGCTTCAGATAAGGAGGTGAAGCCCCCTCATAACTGCATGAACCCGTATGGCACAATACAACTCAGTACATTTTTGGTAATTGTTATACCCTTTCTTTAGTAGTATTGTATAAATTGGAAGGCTAACTAGGTAATCAGCTCGTCGGTGATTTGCAGCCCATGCGTGGTGAACTGCGTGTTAGAAAAGATGAGATCTCAGACTGGCTTACTTGTACATCAATCAAGTGGCAAATGCCATAGTAAGGATGGATGATAGGCTAACTTAAACAAAAATAAAATCTTTTTTTAAATGCCATGCGATCTATCAACACTACCTTTGCGATCTACATATTGGGCACCCCTGCTATAGCGCTTTAGCTTATCATAACCATCCAAGTGCATTTGGCCCTCTGCATCTGTACTGACGTCTTAATTCCACACCTTGTGGATCAACCAGTTTGATGATGCGTCTTATGCTATCTTGTGACACAACAAGGCCCTGTTGAATTGCACGGAGATCTAGCCAACGGTATCCCTGCATCTGTCCATTGGTCATGATCTCATGCTGTACAAAAGCTAGCACTTCC